ACCTAGAGATAACTACTCGACGGAGATCGATCGTCACGTAGGAGTCGCGATACGTCTAGCCCGCTGCTTCACATGTAGCGTCGTGATTTTCTCGATTGTAGCAATCCTTTTGTACCAAATAAGCTGCTTTGGGATCACAGCCGGGGCTCACAGACTATGGTCGCACAGATCCTACAAGGCCAAGTGGCCGCTTCGCTTGCTCCTCGTGATTCTGAACACCACAGCATTTCAGGTAAGCAATACGATCTGTCGCGTTGCGATACCGGGAGCGAATAAATCGCGATTCGAATAGCAGCTCGAATTCATCGGCTGATTCGCGCCTACGCTGCGACTCTACGAACGCTCTCACGAAATTGAAGATTTCGGCCGATTGGAGTAGTTCGATGAAAGTGCCAACGCCTGGACACACGTCCTTAATCCTTAAAGGCTATGGGTACCATTGCATTGGTGAAATTTCACTCCATGCCAATTTTGTTCCGTTTTTATTAAATGCTAAATTATCTGCTTATTTGTGAACAATATCTTCTCTATTTTTCATCTAATATTCAATAATAATAAAATGTTTAATCGCATTTATTTGACTTTTCTACTTTTAAAATAAAAAAAGATGTATACACCGAGATTAAATTTATGACAGCATTAACAAGTTGAATGCCGGACGAATTTTACATGACCGGCCCAGACGCCGGAATTAGTTTTTCGTTATATGATACATACTAATGCAAAATGTTATCTACGGTGGATAATGTGAACTATATTATTATGCTTTTATCTTACTGGGGATCATCAGTGACCACCGCGGTGTTGTAAAGCGTTTCTCCGATTTTGCTTTATCATTTCGTTCATTTTTTACAATCGTCAATTGTTTCGATCGTATTTTATTTCCCTTATTCGTATTGTGTCTGTCACAGTTTCAAGTAATGTTATCCATTATACTCCCACATTCCGTTTTTACATTTCATTTTCTATATTTAACTTTCTGTATTTAACTTTTCAATAGCCTTACAATTAATATATCAGAAAACGAAGATTATATTTCAAGTGATTCATCCGACCACTCATTTTTACTACTTGCTCATAAATGCCGTCGATTATCGAACAGTGAGCAAACAGTTCGTCAAGCAGTTAATTTGACCTGATACATTCATTCTCCGTGCGTCGTCGTCGAATCATGTAGTGAGTCCGAGGATGAAGACGGCGAAACTTACATACAGAAAGGCGAGTACGACATGGACTGGCATATCCCCAGGGGCAAACAAGTTAAAATGAAATTTTTGAATCCTTCTGGAGTCAATCCATATTATCCAGAAATTTTTAATTATGCTGAACCACAAAGTTTTTATTACTTCTTTGTTACTGAAGAAATATTCCAAATTATTTCGGAACAAACTAACAAATATGCAGCACAAATAATATCACAAAAGCAATCGTATCGTCTAAATGAGTGATATGAAACTAATGTCACTGAAAACAAATATTTTTTGGGATTGATTATGGGGATGGGGCTCGTGAGACTGCTCAAAATTCATTTGTATTGGACTAAAGATGAAGCATATGCACAAAACTTTCCCCCCACAGTGATATCGAGAAACCGATTTAAACTTTTACGGTTTATTCATTTTAGTAATAATGAAGAAACCGATCTTAATTATCGTTTATCTAAAATTAGAGTAATTAGCGATATATTGAACAACAATTTTAAGAAATATTATAGCCTCCAGGAAGTATTGTGCGTAGACGAATCATTGGTGCGATTTCGTGGAAGAACAGTATTTCGACAGTATTTATAAACAGAAACGCCACGGACATGGCATGAAAGTTTTCAAATTATGTTGTGTGGAGCAGAGTATATTCTTTTCAAATATATACTGGGAAAGAAAGAAACGCAGATACAGTCGAAACAAATCGGCTGAAATTGTAATGTCTCTTTGTAAAGAAATATTGGGCAAAGGCCATACTATCTGTACAGATAATTTTTATACAAGCGTTGATTTGGTAGAAAAATTACTTTCTGCAAAAACACATTTAGTAGGAACTTTACGGAAGAACCGACGAAGAAATCCACCGGATGTAATAATTAAGAAATTAAAACATGGAGAATTTATAGGTAGGGAAAACCAGATGGGACTACTATAAGAATATTACAGTCTTAAAGTAGAAAGATAAGAGAGATGTGTTGATGCTCTCCACTAAGCAGAGACGACAACCGTACATAAAAAGTCGTTTTCGTATGAGAAACCAACAATAATTTTAGATTATAATTCAGGAAAATCGATTAATTTATCAAACACAGTAATGAAGTTACAGTACTCCTTTACGAAAAACTATAAAATGGCATAAACAATTAACGATAGAATTATTACTAAATACATGTGTGGTGAATGCGCTAGAAATGTTCAAGCATGTAACGCGTAATAATATCAAAATTACCGATTTCCGCATTGATTTAAAATTAGCAATGCATTTGGTACAAAGAGCTTCCTCGAACGTGAGTACACAAATTGTAACTCCGCTAAGAAAAGCACGCCATAAAACGGAGAAAATCCCAAGAAAAGTGAGCACTACTCGACGAGTTTATATAATATGCTACAAAAAAAAATGCTCACGTAAGGGGTAAAACGACCGCAAAAAATCGTACTCACTCAAAAGTCGCCACATATGATCGCAGATTGCACCGGTTCGCCTTTCCTCTGTTTGACATGTTTTAATACAGTACATCGCAACATGCGAATATAACACCTTCGAAATTATAAATAAAAAACTATTTTCATGTGTTCTTTCATGCATTTGTTTCTTTATGTTGTTGTGATAACGATGGTAATATTGAATTTTATTAGTTTTTATTAAGCTCAGAATCGCCGGCCACCGATAACCCTCACGGCGCTATTGGCAAATCGAGTGTCGCCCCGATCATCGGTGACTTTCGCGGCATTCACGTGTTAATGTGATTTTCTTCGATGGTAGTTTTTAACGGTTAACCTTGAACGGACGCAATAATATGCCGACTCAGTCGGTTTAATAAGAGATAAGGGATAATCATTCACAAGATGGAGCAAATCATCTGAGACTATGAATGTAAATAGAAAAGCAATTTTCTCGTTATGAAGCATAATATTATATAATATATAATATATAATAATATATAATAAAATCTAAGTGTTCACTTGAAAAATCCATCTCTTATTAAACCTGGCGGTATCCAATTAATTCATTTTTATTTTAGAAGAAAAATAACGTGATTAGTGATTTTTGCATAAATATATCACGTGAAAATATTCTTTGCGTACGATTAGGAGATACATAATATGTTTTTTATGACGCTTTATTCATTAAAAGATTGATATATTTAACTTGAGAGTCTTGCGACCGATCGATCGGTCAATCAATCTTGCTAGCCGAGACGATATTTTTTCTTCAGTTAGCATTTAGCAGTTAGCAGAAGTTACCTCGTAACGCGACATCGCGATACTACGAAGGTTGCGAATATGGAAAATGGATAAACAGCTCGATCCAGCATATCCATGCCGCGTCGTCAGGAGGAGATATCCTCCTCCTCGTGAACGCGAAAGCGTTGCTGTCGGGTATTGTTTTCTCGTTCGTATCGATCATCGTTTATTGCGCACGAGTAAATATTCTCGTTGTTTTTGCCCCTTTCGGGATCCCAACGAGTAGACCTGTTTGACGCTAAGAGGGAACTTAACTAAGGGAAACGTCCGCCTACGCGATCGGAAAATCTGATTTGGAATACAAATGCGCTATCTATAAGTCAAAAGAAGGTCTTCATCAAGTGATACATTTTGTGAAACGCAGAACTCCGTGATCGATTGGGCCAAAGATCACAGGATCCACCACAAGTACAGCGATACCGACGCCGATCCGCATAATTCCAATAGGGGTTTTTTCTTTTCGCACATGGGTTGGCTCCTTTGCAGGAAGCACCCAGAGGTCATGAAGAAAGGCAAGGCGATCGACATAAGCGATCTCAAGAGCGATCCCATGTTGGTGTTTCAGAAAAAGTATGTATTGAGCCTTGGTTGAAGAACAGAGAAAGAAACAGGAGTCGAGTAGAATTTTCAGGACGGATTATTCTTCTTTTCAGATATTACGCCCTGCTGATGCCTCTGATGTGCTTTATCCTGCCTACTGTGATTCCGGTCGTGTGCTGGAACGAGACCTGGACGAACGCTTACTTCATACCCACCATCCTCCGCTATATCTTCACTCTGAACGTGACGTGGCTGGTGAATTCGGCGGCTCATTTCTTCGGCAACAAGCCTTACGACAAGTTAGTATAGCTAGACTCATGGCGCTAGATAAAGGCACACTCATCATCACACTTGAGATTGCCTTATCGATCACGGCCCGGGGAGCGAATTTTGCTCTGCTCGTTCTTCCCTGAGTGCTGGCGCACAGAAAGAATGTAAGGGGCAAGATTGGAGCAACAATCAATGAATAACAATCGGCAACTTCAACGTCATAGTCCTACGTTTTCGAGTGTGGGGGTAGCCTTTACATTGCTTACGCTCTTCTGTATGTCATCCGCTCAATTTGAAGAATATTCTCAATCCTCCTCAGCTCTCCCTCGCACCGAGAGACTTCTCCTGCCCTTTAGCAACGAAGACGACACGGCGACACTTCCGTTAAAATTCTGCTTTCTCTTTCCCTTGTGCGTAGGTACATCAAAGCTTCGCAGAACAAAAGCGTCGCTATAATGATCTCGGGCGAAGGCTGGCACAATTATCACCATGTCTTCCCGTGGGACTACAAGACTGCCGAGTACGGCAACTATTCATTCAACATTACAACCGCGTTCATCGACTTCTTCGCGAAAATCGGCTGGGCATACGATCTGAAGAGCACTTCCGAGGATATGGTGAGGAAGCGGGTGGAGAAAACCGGCGACGGCAGCCATGATCTGTGGGGTTGGGGTGACAATGATCAGACGCAGGAGGAAAGGAACCAGATGATAGTGACGTATAATAGCGCGAAGGATTAGTAGAGTATGCGTCACGCGTGCGAGAGACTCAGATATAATGTAGACACTTTTTAGCTTAAGGTAGAAGGGCCATAGATTTCGATTATTTTATTTATGCAGATTCCAAGACATTTTTCTCGCGAAAGAAGTAAAGAGAGAGAGAGAGAGAGAGAGAGAGAGAGAGAGAGAGAGAGAGAGAGAGAGAGAGAGAGAGAGAGAGAATGAGAGAGAGAGAGAGAGAGAATGAGAGAGAGAATGAGAGAGAGAATGAGAGAGAGAGAGAGAGAGAGAGAATGAGAGAGAGAGAGAGAGAGAGAGAGAGAGATAGGGGGAAACGAGCGACTGGATCGAGCCGGCTCACAGTGTTGCAGAAATCGCTAAACGTGGCCAAAATAGGAAAAAATAAAAAGCGAAATTTTCGGTTCCCGTTTTCAATATATTTTCTAAAAGATCCAAATTAATAAGTTGTAGTAACATTTTGATGAAATCCAATTGTATCACGAAGATAAGTGAATTCAAATGTACACGTGATGCGAAGTAAAGAATAGCTGGGTAATAACCCTCCAAATGATACAATTGATTTTGCGTTGAAACAATTTTTTATCATGAAAATGATGTTCCCTGTTTAATATCTCATCTGTGTAGTTTTATTTCCAATAAAGAGTATATTAGAAAGTTACAAGTATATACAATAAAAATTAGCTTTACAGGACTCACTTTTTATATACAGTTAATCACTTATATCGTGATATATAAAAATTGCATCATTTCGCACCATGTTGTACCTTTGTGAAAATAAAGATAAAATATCTATTAGTCCTTATGCAAAGGTAGAAAGAGCGATATCCAGCGCTTACAAAAATATGATAAATTTTATGAGCAGAGTTCGACATTCAGTGCGCTTACGGTCAGACGCTCTACTGCAGGTAATATTGTTCAACACAAAATCCTCTTATATCCTCTATCAAAATCCTTTATTCTAGTTAAGTTTTGCTAATGCTAAATACAAATATAATAATTAATGATAATGTTTAAGCTCTAATTAAATAATGTAGTAAACTATAGTAAAAATAAAGATTGTAGAGATATGAGAGAGTATCATACAAGAAAAAACTCGAGAATTGCGACGAATGAAGATTTATTTAAAAGACTTCTTCTTTCCTCAGATCCCATCATTTCATCTTTAAAAAAGTTTCAAATAAAAACGCCGATCCCTTCCCTAAAGAAGTTATTGAATTGCTTGCAAATTCAATTGTAGCAAATGCAGTTTCCGATAATGAATAGTTTTATAAAATATTTTGTTTAGTTAATAGTTACATAAAATAAAAAACAGAACATAAAAACTAAAAAAAGATAAAAAACAAAAGAATTTTTTAAAATAAAAAAAGTAAAAAATAAAATAATAAAATTAAAAATATGTTATTTTAGTGATAAAATACTAGTATTTACAACATAGTATGCTTTTCATTCAACTATAATATATTATAGCGACAATATTATTAATGGCTACTATTTGTAGGTTTTGCAACACTGTGCGTCTCTCAGAAACTGTCGACGCGTTGCGCGATTATCTAGCGCGGGTTCCATGTGTGATGGTTTCTGAAAGTTCGGCCGATAGCGAAGACGAACATTGTGATTTTCTTTAACGACAGCTTCGACACTGTTTTATCTCGAAACGCTTTTCCCACACGCTCGATCGATAGCTGGTAGGGCGGATCGCTGCGATTTCCACGCGCGCTGCATTACATGCGTACTAATTATCTAAATACTTTATACGTTTTGTGTGGTTTTTAAATGTTATAACATAAAAATATATTTTATGTTATAACAAAGTAGCACAGCGAAATATGTGTTTCGAAATAAATAGAAACAATAAACACTAGAAATTACAGAAATCGTTATAACTGAGAAATAATATTTAAATCGAGAAATAATAGAAAAATATGAGCAGGAATCTCTCTGTAAACGCAGAGTGCAGAATAATTATAAAATCTTTCACGAGAATTGTAGACAGATAATTTTTTACTTTCAGTAAAATCGCTCTCGACAAAATGATCTGCCGCATCCTGGGCACTCAATGTTGAAAACAGATGTTATTTTAACATTTCTTCTTCCAACATAAACAAACGAATAACAAAATTAACTTGCTTTAGTGGCATAATTATAGGCGGCTACAAAACGAAAGGTAATTTGAGCGTGCTCGAAAACCTCGATTAAAAATATATATTGTACAATGTTTGATTGGTAAAAGCTACGGAACATTTTCTCATTCACGATGTCTGATCTGAAATCTTTGGATGCTACGGATATCTTCAAATAGATATGCGAAAACAAGTCTTTTATATAAAATAAATAAGTCCTCCAATTTATACAATATGGCTGTAAAGTTTTAAACCAATTTTATGAAAAAGGACAAATCATGATCGAAAAAGTTTCACTATTTAATTTTTAATACACTCTATCCCTCCTAATTTTATACAGCGATTTGCGCGGCCGCTGGATGATACGCGGGAACTTTGAGATTGAAATAGCATTCTGGAATTAAAACAGCTTCTTCGTTAAATTGTTTTGAATAGCTGTAATTATTTATTTTGCTTTTAGAAACAGAAAAATATCTGCCGGAGCTAAATCTGACGAGTCGTGCAGTACAGTAAGATCTTTTGAGATGAAGAAATGCCGCCCGCTCATATGTAAAAGAAATCAATTGTTGTTTTAATACTCATGCTCTTACTCGTTCAAGCCATACATGTTTTGAAATCGTAAAGTTTGTATGTTTGAAAATATTCGATTGAGCTAAGTGGGAAGCACACACTTCTGCATAAAAGCATAATCCATAACGCATAAGGAATCAAACGAATTAGAGTCTTCATTCTTATTGTCATGTTAGAAATGAAAGGCTCTGATTGATTCAATTCCTTATGCGTTATGCATTATACATTTATGCAAAAGTGTGTGCTTTCCGCTTCACAGTATTATAACGTTAATTATTTTTATAATATTTCTGCAACGTTACTGGATTCTTTCGGCGTAACATTGCAAACATTTGTTTCTGTATTCTCTCTGCAATATTCCATTGGAACTTGCAATGTTACAAAACGATCGTGCAATATCACTGGAAGCTTCTGTGCTGTATGGAATGAAACTGTTCTTTCCGGTGCATTTTTTATCGATGTGGACTTATGCCTAATGTCATGCTAATCATTATTCATTAATCTAATAATTTTACATAATTTTATGCAAATACATCACAGCATTATTAAACTTTAAGCGAATGCTCAATCGCAATATCATGAGACCAATCGCGTTGATACACGTGTTCGTGTTTTTGAAGTGTCACGAAACGCTTGCGTATACGGCGGTCACGTGCCGGCGCGTTCACCGTGCGGCCGCACTATAACGCCACCGGCGTCGTCACACAGGGCTGCGTTCCGATATTCACTGTCAGCACTAAAAATCTATAAATACGATTCCGAGCCCAGCCGATATCATGCCATGATCCGCAGCAAGCCGATAATATTTAAACTCGGATCGCGTAATACCGGTTACGCAGTCCGTCGCTATAAGGCTGTCCTTCATCTTCGATATACCTGCAAGTCGTCGCTGAAGCAGACTACCGACAACAATCAACGAACAGGGAGAAACCGTACTCGCGTACTCTATCAGAATTCAGTCTCGGGAGGACAAACGGCATCACAGCAGCGAGATCGGTCGTTGAAGAGCAGCAGAGATAAAGGTGAGTCTACATGAGTCCACAAAACACCGCTGAGATGATCAGTGCTATGTCGACGACTTTTCAGCCTTTTTCAAATAGCACAAGAGCGCGCACTTCAAAATTATCCTAAACATGTACACAATATGCCTGAAGAGCGCGCCTTAGGATGTCTCGAGTACATTCAGCATGACTTCACTTTATACTGTATGGGCTCATTACTATCAACGTCAGTGAGACCTTAACTTGGGTTTAAATTCTTTCTCAGACTCGAGCATAGCTGGTTAAGGTTCAATTGCTGTAGAAACGGGAATTAGTCGTACGTGCGCAAACTTTTCCTTTTCGTATTTCATGTCATTATGCGCGCGCACGCGTTGAACGGATCAACTCGTTCGACTTTTATGGCTAGACACGAAAATGCGTGTTCATCTCTGCAATATTAGAAAGCCGAGAAGGAAAGAAGCAAGTTTGAGAGATTATTGCGTTACACAGTACACCGCAATGTTAATTATTCACACGATCTAACAAGTCTTTACGTTTCCCTGGAGCGTACACGGTCGGCAGATAATGGACAGGAAGCTTCTGCCCGCGGCACTTCTTCCTGAGAATCCAATTTCGATCCCTGATCGTTCTTGCAGGAGATTAACCGCGCAATCGAGCGGACTGTACGTTCGTCGCCCAAGATCTTGACAGGACTGTAATTTTTCTACTCGTTATTATTAATCTCCTGCCGTATCTGTCTTTTCCACTTCTGCTCGACTTTTAGTGGTCATATTTGTTTTTACTCGCCTCTTGAACGCTATACACCGTTTAACTCTTTGTACCCTCAATTAATTTATCTAAGTCCTTTATATTAAAGTTTCGCGTAATTAAATAGTTTTGGGCATATTATAAATACATAGGGAATAGGAAATATTATAATTATTATTGCATAAATACATAAGGAGTAGGAAAATAAGTTATATAGCAATTCAATAATTTCAAGGTGGTACTTATAAGTATCGATAGGAATGTAGGGTAAGACATAGAAGGCAAAAAGTTCAAAAACATATGAGCGGTATTTGTAAGTAAGGGTCGGGATATAAAGGGTTAATGTACCCTCAGGAAGACTCTCAATGGTGGCTGTTGCGGGTTGAGCGAGATTCGTGCTAACCCTGAGCGCCGGAATCATCCAGAAGTTGGGCTCGTGAGCAAGTATAGATTAGGCCGACGGTTGTCGGCCAGAGGAGAAGAACGATAAAGAATCTGGTCAATAATTTCTTGACTCCCCGTTTCAGCCTCGATTTATTTGGGGTAGATGACCAGCTACAGCGATCCGTAAGTCGAATGATGTCGAATACAAATCGTTCCGGAAAGCACCGTTGGCTGAACGCGGACACCGATTATCTAATTCTCCACGTGTCACGAAACTCTGATAGGTGCAATAAAGTTTTTTCTTTCTATTTGTCAGAAGAAAAAATGGTATTGAATCTTTTTGCTCTATTTAGTCTCAAGAATATATTGTTCCAATAGCGCTTTGAATTAGGTTAAGTTGATGATTTTGAAATTTCCAATAGATCCTTTGAAACCCTACAACTTTTGTCTGAAATATTTTTCTCAAAAATGTCGCGTTAATGAAAAAGTCGGGTGACCCAAGTGATCTAAAACACCCGGTATATATATATATATATATATATATATATATATATATATATATATATACACTGGATAGTGGTACGTTACTGGACTGTACCACGATAAAGAACATCGATGAAGACTGTGTGTGTGTGTGTGTGTGCGTCATCCAGAAATGTCGGTTTGCCCTTCTAACCCTGACAGTGACTATGTAAAAATGTTACTACTCTTGATATTGACTTGAATTATGACTGTTCATTGAGCTCTTTTGCATTTGCGTCATTCAATCAAGGACGCAAGTCATATTAAAATTTTAACTTCAGAATATATTAAATTTTGCAAAAGGAAAGTTATATATCATAACCATTTATACATATATATACGAGGGTGGTCCGATGAGTACTTAGCCTACAAAAGAAAAACGAAAATTTTGGAAAAGTGGCGATTTATTTCTCAACATAGTCTCCTTTTAGCTCGATACACTTGACCCAGCGATGCTCCAACTTCTTTAACCTGTCTGAAAAATACGTTTTCTCGAGGTCTGCAAAGTAGAGGCCTCCGTGGCGGCGATGACCTCCTCATTCGACTCAAATTTCTGCCCGGCGAGTGACTTTTTCAAGTTTGGAAACAAAAAGAAGTCGCACGGGGCCAAATCTGGAGAATACGGTGGATGGGGCAGCAGTTCGTAGCCCAATTCGACCAATTTGACCGTGGCGAGGGCGGAGGTGTGAGCCGGTGCGTTGTCATGGTGGAAGAGCACTTTTTTCTTCGCCAAATGGGGCCGTTTTTTCTGCAATTCGGCGTCGAATCGGCCCAATAATTCGGCATAGTACAGCCCTGTGACCGTTTTGCCCTTCTCCAGGTAGTCGATGTAGATCACACCTTGTGAATCCCAGAAAACAGTGGCCATCACCTTTCCGGCCGATAGGACAGTCTTCGCCTTCTTCGGAGCACGTTCGCCGGGTGAAGTCCACTGTTTCGACTGTTCCTTGATCTCTGGTGTGTACCAGTGGATCCATGTTTCGTCGACGGTCACGAAACGACGCAGAAACTCCTTCGGATTGCGCTTAAACAGCGTCAAACACTGCTCTGAAGTGGTCTCACGGTTGCGCTTGTTGTCCGGAGTGAGCAAACGCGGCACCCATCGCGCCGACAGCTTTCTCATGCCCAAAATTTCATGCAGGATATGACCCACGCGGTCTTTTGAGATGCCTACTATCTTAGCTATCTCGCGCACCTTCAATCGGCGGTCTGCCAATACGAGATCGTGGATTTTTGTCATGTTATCCTCCGTGGTAGCCGTTTTCGGGGCACCTGGGCGTGGCTCATCAAAAACCGACGTGCGACCACGTTGAAACTCGTTAAACCAATTTTTGACGGTCGCCATCGAAGAAGAAGAGTCACCGTACACAGCATCCAAGCGCTCTTTGATTTCGCTGCGCGATTTCCCTTCCAAAAACAAGAATCGAATCACCGACCGATATTGCTCTTTTTCCATTTTTCTAAAATCCGCGGACACGCCCGCTTCCACACGCGGTCAAAACAAAACTACGAGTCCGATTCGGCTGAAATTTCGACAGTAGCCGTCTACGAGAATGTACTACACGATAGTAAATTTCTCTTGCGATAGTGGCGCCATCGGGCGGTGAGGCTAAGTACTTATCGGACCGCCCTCGTATTAACGAGTTACTTCTTTAGAGACAGATAGAAGAAAATATCGTTTCCTTAAAGATCATCGGTGACCGAAATAGTGTGCGTATAATTCTTGCGGAAGATCATCTTCCACGTTCTTTGAATAAGTGAGAGAGAGAGAGAGAAAGAGGTATATTTATGCCAAATAATATATGCTGTGCATGGTTATGTCTTTCATCACCTGTTTTTTCGGCAAAAATATGTAGATCATTCAAGGGATTAGACTTACTCTCCGATTTAAAAATATCGATCTTCCGAAAATTTTGTTCTAATCAAGCGATGATGATACTTTGCTAAAATATTTTATAGAAATTACATTTCAGAGAGATAGGTAAATCTTTTTACTCATGCATAAAATTCAATTTTTCAAGACTGTCATTTCAACCGTCCTAAATAAAAAGGGGTCATGTCAGTAATCGTTAGTAGATTCAATGTGAACATATGCATATTTCAATTTGTCATTCAATTAAATTTCAATTATAATTATATGTGTAAGAAAAACAATATGTAAGAAAGATTTTATGAATATGTTCAAAATATGTATGGAATATATCGAAAGAATATCATACGAGTACGTGATGAACAATATGTAAAGGATATGCCAGAACAGTCTATGCGTTATAATGACATTAATATAAGGTCTAGTAGTTAATTCTTTCCGATTTTCGACAATTTTCAATGTTTCTTTAGCAATCGATAGAACGAGATTAATCCATGAAATATTCTCCGTTGTTATCGATAATTTTATACCATTTATTGGGCAGTTGCCGAATCTAATCACGATAGAAAGATATGGTGACTTTCCTTTTGAGTTTTTTTTACGGTTTAGCATTGTAGTACAGCAGGATGACTTTACAGTTGCTTTGTCGAATAAATGGTCTTTTTTCTCAATTATATGGATCAAATGTATCAATTGCTCTTGATGAATCTCTACTTTAAAGATTTTACCCAGTTCCGAGAGCTCATAGTACAATACACCCTTCTGATCCCACTATATATAGAGAACTTTTTTCCGAAACGTGTGGGTTTTGCTGTCGATGTTGTCGATCTCGACCAGGATCTACCTATGATTAGAATTTTCATACCATTTTCATAATCCATTTTTTGTCACTAGTTACGATTTTGTACAAGAAATTTCTTTCCTGTTGCCTGATGAGCAAGGTTTCGGTTGCTCCAGAAACATTTTTATTTAAATGAAATGTAAAATATATCGTGTATCGAATATGCTCTTTGTCGATGGCCATCGTGAATACTACTGATTTGACTATTTGAAGTTATGTGCATGAAACGTCAAATCACATGTCATCTCGAGAAGTTAAATGTCGACATTTTAAAACTGCAAAAGAGCGGGAGAATATTTCAATTTCAAGTTTTGCTCTGAGCTATGTAAACTTCATCGGGAAGAATTAAAAACTAGATTTAATATTTACATTGACATGGGAAGGGAAATGTATTTATATTAATTATCTTCTAATTATTAAATATCATCATAAAAATATACTTTACATTATGATAAAATAGCAAATTATGTATTTCATTAAATGAAAACAATAAAACAATACTATATCAAATGTACGTAATGGTTTGTAAATGTATGTAATAGATTTGGTGGAACATTAATAAGCACATAACAATACAACATTGATACATCAAATGAATATAACAACTGTTTAATTCACATCATTCGTCGTGAGCATAGCGTTGATATAAATATGCTTTTAACGATGCTGCAACATAACGGAATAATATGAAATTTCGTCATATTATCACATACAAATATTAATTCCTCTCTCAAGCTTACTTTTAACTTATCGTCGATTTGTCAACTATTGTCGAACTGGAAGGAAAGAGACACACTATTGTGCATTTCCACGCAAATTGAAAAGAGATGACAACATTGTTATCGATCTATCCAAAGCAAGTGGAAAAGATATCAATAATTAGATCATTGTATTGTTGTTTTATTTTCTTCAATAATTGTTGCGTTTACAGGTTTTGCGAAATAATAATATGTATTCCGCGTATTCTACCTCGGTCTGCTGGTATCGCACGACTTTTTCTAATGCCGACGTCTAATTTTTTTCGGTTTAAATAATATGGTCTATGAGTTTTAGTTCATTTCAGCTGTAATATAGCATCGTGGTATAAGTGGAAGTGGGAGTAGAAATGGAAGTGGACGAGGCGTTCGAATCGTTTATGTATTCCTATTATTTCAGTCACGACTGAGCAGTGAACGGCGTTCTATCATTTCAGTCATAAGTGAGCAAGGGAAATTCAACCTTGTCGAAGGTACCTGTGGAAACTTCATTTGTCAGAACACAGTGAAGTAAACATTTAAAGCAATTATAAGATTGGTTTTATTTTTAGAACAATATATTCGGAATGGACGCGCAAGTGATATTTTACATTTGCGATTTCCGTCTCTACGAACGGTCCCCGTAAACCCAATTAGAAGTAACATTAACATTACATCAATATTCTAAGTTTCCAAAATTGCCCAATTGGATTCTTAGGAGAGGAGAGAGAATCTTTCAAAGAATATTTCAGAATATTTCAAAAGATACTCCTTAAAAAAAAATCGATATTTTTCTTTCGGAGCATGAACCATCAAAAGTATAAAAGATAGAAAACAACTTACCGAATACAAATTTGATGGTTTGAGGAGTAACGGTTCTTATTTTCTTATTTTTTCTAAAGTTTTTATTTTTCTTATTTTTTTTATTTATTTTAAAGTTAGAATTTTAAACATATCCCCACACTAAGAGAATATATTGCGCATATGTATCATGTATATGAAATAGGCGGAGAAATCATTTAAATCCAGAAGTAATGAGAAAATAAGAGCAGGAATCATTCTATAAACGCAGGATACAGGATAATTATAAAATTATGAAAATTTTCACGAGAATTACAGACAGATAATTTTCGACTTTCAGTAAAAACACTCTTGATAAAATGATCTTGGGTACTCAACGTTGCATCACCACAGAAGCATATATAAGAGAAGTCGCGAACGATGATTCGAAAACTATTACATTCGATTCGAACAACGTCAGTGCCGCTACTAAAGAAGTTTATCGAATGAAAAGATCAGGCTTTTTTGAATTTGAGACGAAAATAATATGGTCTATGGCTTTACTTCTGTTTTTGTTACATACAGTCGGTTTTTACGGTATATTGACTTTCGACTATCTCCAGAACCTGAAGACTACATCTTGGAGTAAGTTGTCACAGCGTAGAAATTTTTCGAAATTATTGCGCTTATTGTCATAATCAGCGTGTAGAAATGTTTCAACGTCCAATAAAAACGTTTTACCAAAAATATGCTAAAAATACTTAATACATAATATTGATTTGTACATACACAGTGTAGTTTGGACAATTCTCTTGATATCGTTTCTTTTTTTCGGAGGGTGAAGTAGATTTCTCAATTTAATTCGTAGATGATTATCAAATAATATAATCGCAGCAATTATTTAAAATAAAATATGTTTCGTTCGTACATAATATGTAACAAATAATTATTTGTCTATAATTTATAGTATTCTGCATGCACGTCTTAACAGTTTTCGGCGTGTCCGCCGGCGCCCACAGACTTTGGAGTCACAAGTCGTACAAAGCCAAATTACCCTTGAGAATCCTATTGGTATTACTTTTTACTGCGGCTGGACAGGCAAGTTTATCCATTTCAAATTCAATACAAATTAATGCGATAACTTTTCCTTTTGCCGCGTGGTATTTAATCAAAATGCAACATGTGTGCGACACGATTCTTTGAACTGCTAATTACGAAAGATCGATTTTGAGTTATGCATCGTTCTTGTAAATAACTCTCCTCTTTGCCAGACGGTATCTGGAGTCAAAATGTAACATGTCTTCTGCGACGTGATTCCTTGAATCGCTAATTATGAAAAATCAGTTTTGAGTTATGCAATGTTTTCGTAGGGAATATTGCATTATATATTGTATCATAAAGAATATAATAACATCAACGCTATTTCAGGTCGCGGCCGGATGACTAAACCGTACTTGCAAAATTAAACAAAAATAATGATAATAACAATAATTATTTGGAAAATTTCTAATTTTATCTCTATCTGATTTTTGCCTCCAGAATTCAGTATACCAGTGGGTGAGGAATCATCGTTTGCACCATAAATACTGTGACACTGATGCTGATCCTCACAACACCAACCGCGGTTTCTTCTTTTCACACATCGGCTGGGTAGTGATGGAAAATCATCCGAAAGTGCTGAAAAAGAGCGAAAAGCTTGATATGTCGGACATTCTCTCGGATCCCGTCGTAGTAATTAGCGAAAAGTAAGTATTATGAAAACATAATTTACCTCATCTATAATGTATTATGCTTACAGGTTGAGATAGAGATGTCTAGGTTTCAAGAAATTTACATAATATGATCGAGACACCCATTAGAATTGGAAGTTACCACAGACAGAAATGTTTAATACTGTGATATTTTCCAGATACTTTTTACCGCTGCAATTTCTGTTTAGTTTCGTCCTGCCGACGATCGTGCCAGTATATTTCTGGAACGAAACGTGGGGCAGGGCAATCATTTCACAAGTATTTATACGTTATATGATCACTTTGAATAGTATATGGAGTATCAACAGCATTGCCCATGCATGGGGTCACAGGCCATACGACAGGTAATAAATTGCTTTTCTCAACAGATAAGTTATTTTGCAAAAAAGGAAATAACTGTCATATATGATCGCGCAATACGCTTTCAGGCACATCAAGCCGGCCGACAACAAGATCGTCAACATAATATTGAACGGCGAAGGATTTCACAATTATCACCATGTATTCCCGTGGGATTACAGATCGGCGGAAATCGCCAGAATCAGTTACATTACCTACCTCATCGACTGGTTCGCGAAATTGGGGCTAGCTTACGATCTCAAATATCCCTCTTTAGAACTAGTCAAGAAGGTGGCGATGAACAGAGGTGACGGAACTTATCTTTCATTTTATGAAGTACCGGCACCGTAATATAAACACATAAACAGAGTTAAAAAGAAATTGGGAAACCTCTATATTGTTTTCGGTGTGGGTGTAGACTTTCAGTCATGAATGATCATCCTATGCGCCTGTGCGCTTTTCTTCTCGACGAGCTATTTCGCGGCTGAATGCGTGCCTCGCTTTTGCCGCGATCGAAAGTGTTACGTACCTCTCATCTTAATTTTTTTTCTTTTATGTAGAAGTAGTATATTGTTATGTTGGGTTGGCAAGAAAGTAATTTCGGTTTGCGCCAATAGATAGCGTTATGTTTGTGTCGTTATTCTTCTGTCAATATTATAATTTTTTTCTTTTCAGATTTGGTAGTTGACACTCTTAGGTTACTATAGAAACAAATTCCGTGTAATTTTGTTTACAACTGTTGGTTTACGGTCAATTTTAACATTCCTTCTTTATCGAACATTGGAAAAATTGACTCGATGTTGTTAGTATACTGTGTTTTTCAGTAGACAGAAAAAGGAGATGCAAATAATGCAAAAATAATTTATATTCTTTTTCACTTTTCTTATTTTAAATTGTAGTTTTTACAGAGGTAGTTGTAGTGATAATTTTTACAAGAAGTAAAGAAAGAAATATTGAGAAAATATATACGATAGTGAACAATAAGACGTTTATATTATAACGTACTATTATGTTCTTCGTCAACAATCACGAACTGTACGAAACAAGTACGATTATGCATAATACGGCATTGCGATAAGAAAAAGAAAGTGGAAAAAGAATTAAAAGTTTCTCCGATATAAATCAGCGTGGAAAGTAAATAAATTTAAGTATCAATGTAATCCTATGCGACACGATGTCAAACTGTATTTATGAACAATTGTATTGCTTAAATAATAATAAATAAAGTTAATAAAGTAAGTATTGCCTTTATTTCTTACGTAATAAATGAATAAAAAATTGTCTGATCGCACAATATCATCTGAAAATAAAAACAAATGTAAATAGTAATATACTTTGCGAGTCGTGAAATCCCGGTATTGTTTATAGCTGATTCTTATTATTTAAGATTGTCTTAAGTACAGTCTTAAGTACAGTCTTAAGATGTCGTAAACTAATCATAACAGAGCCCTATGAGCGTCTTAAAAGACATTATTTATTAATACTAGTCACTGATTAAGTACACGCGAGTGAGGTGCGCGCGCCGACCCTGAGCGCTACATGAGCGAGACAAGAGCGCTTATTCGTTAACTTTAACACGTTCTTCTGCAAAAACTACTTGTTGGACACAGTTTTGCTAAAGGAAAAAAGTTGTTTGTTTTAGCATAAAATATCATGTCCTGTACTCCGAATGCGGGAATTTCGGATCACCCTGTATATGTACAAAACATCAGTTCCATCTTGAGTAGTCGAAGCACGATGCATTTGTTGCAGATGCGATTTAACGTTTTTTTTATAAAAATTAAATACTAGGAATAAGTTGAAGTTAATCATTTTAATATTCGTTATTATCGGTACGTAATTGTTTTGTCTCTGTAATAGCTATAATCTAAATGTAATATTACTTCATGTAATGAATAGCTCGAAACATTATCTGCACTGAGAGGATAAATGACCAAAGAAATTATAGAGAATTCAAAAATATTTGGTATATATTGACAGCGAACGTATTACGCGTGTGACAGCTGATTCATACTATTAGAACGCTACAGTTGGTTTATACAGGGTCTGTCAAAAGTTCCTGAACGGTTAATTATTTTAAAAAGTAATGATTGTTTTAAACAACGTTTGAAACAAAAGTTGTAGGGCTTAAAAAAGCTATCAGATATTGATAATTGTTTAACCTTAGAAGGACCTTGAGAAACGTTATCAAGGTCGACATAAATATATTAAATAGAAACTGCAATTTTTTATTACACTGTCTTTTTCCATCAATTAATTTGAACAACTTTTGTCTGAAACATTTTTTTATTTGCCTAATATTTTTTGAGATATTTAAGAAAAACTTGGTAACTTTTTCAATATTTAACTTACGATACTTCGCTAACTGTTTGTCGGGATAAAAAAATGGTACTAGACTTTTCTATTCTATTTGATCTCAAGAATATATTGTTACAATAATGCTCTATTTTTTATTAATTTATCGATCTTTCGAAATTTCAAAATCATCAAATTAACAAAAGTCAGGACGCTATTGCAACATTATATTCTCGAGATTGAATAAAGCAAGAAAGTCTAGTACCATTTTTTCTTCCGACAAATAGTTTGCGAGATATCGTAAATTATATATTGAAAAAGTTATCAAGTTTTCCTCAAATATCTAAAAAAATATTAGACAAATAAAAAAATGTTTTAGACAAAAGTTATTCAAATTAACTAGCAGAAAAAGACAGTGTAGTAAAAAATAAGAATTCCCATTTAAAAAACGCAAGTTGACCTTCAAATGATCTTAATAAAATAGAGGTCAAGGTAAAAGTCAAGGTCATTATAAAATAGCTCACTTAAATCTCTACAACTTTTATTCAGATCATTTTCCTTGAAACTTCAATACTGAAGAATTATTTGGGGTGGGACATTAAAATGGGACACCCTTATATCTAGAAAATGTCGGTCCGTTGTCCATTGCTTGCTAAAGTCCCGCTAAGTAGGTTGCCCATCTAACCCTGAAAGAAATGGACAATCTAACCCCGTTTGGAGAGTTCACGTGAAAATATGTATACCGCGTAAAACATAGTCTCGGTGATGAATTTCGAGATTAAATATCATGTTTTGTTAGTCGTCTAAGCTCAGGTCTAATGTTGTAACTCAAAATAAACCGTATTCGCAAGGTATTTTTCCGACGTGTGAAACATTTTGGAGGTTACTAGAAACATAAAACACTTATTTACTCACAATGGTAGTATTTCTGAGCATCAGGATGAAACACATTTATTCGTGGTACATCCAACTTATAACTGACCGATCAGCGCTGTTTCAAAATTATAGCAATTGACCATCTATCCTCTATGCCCATCCATCTCGGACTTATCTCCTATATCATTACGTGCCGGCATTTGAAGACACATCGTCATCGTTAATCTCGAGCGATACACATAGGACTCTGCGAGGAGTTGTGCAAAGATCTTGAATTTATACGGCTGGAAACGGTGAAAACGTGTTGTACGCTCGGAGCGAAATTGAAAATGCAAATTTAATGCAAAGGTCAAACGAGGTCAAAGGGAAAACTGCGGAAAGTAAATCACGATTGAATACTTTACAAACAGGATGTCGATTGATTTCCATAATGTTTACGTCATCCTGGTCACGCGCTATTGAAACTCTCGCGAATGAAGGCGAATTGAAGCATTGCTCAGGGCACGCGAGGAAATTGAGAAATGAACAAAGCATACGTGATATCGAAGTGTATGAACGCGCAAAGAAGAATTCTGGCATTGGGTCGCTGGTTAATGTAAATATCTGCTTGATATATTCGCGTGTACCATCATTCAATCGCCAATATTTGAGAGTCAATATTTAAACGTTTCAAATATGCAATTTTAGATATGGAAATCCAAAGCTTACCGAATATCTCTTCTGATCTTTGTTCTCTATACCAAAATTTTATTTATCGTAGAATTTTATTTTTTCGATTCTTTATTCTGTCGAATATTGTAGTTGGTGGAAGAATGGATTATCCCTGTCCGATATCACAAAAGTATACCGCGATACGTTACTATATAAGAAAAAAAAGTGAGAGTTCTCTCACAGTATTCCTGTTTGGATACTCGACATAAAAATCCATGTTCGCGATAAGAATGGAATTTTTACTTTGTAGTTATCGCGATTAGATAGGCAACTTTACGACACTACTTATTTTGGGAATTCTAAACTCTGAATTTGTGCTGTAACTGGGCAAAATCCTAGGAAATTTCTACAAGTGTATACGCGCGAGATTTCCGTCGTAGGCTGGGAGCAAATCACCCAGAGATAACGACTCGACACTAGGAAGTATTGTGCGTAGACGAATCACTGGTGCGATTTCGTGGAAGAATAGTATTTCGACAGTATTTGAAACAGAAACGCCACGGACATGGCATGAAAGTTTTCAAATTATGTTGTGTGGAGCAGGATATATTCTTTTCAAATATATACTGGGAAAGAAAGAAACGCAGATACAGTCGAAACAAATCGGCTGAAATCGTAATGTCTCTTTGTAAAGAAATATTGGGCAAAGGCCATACTATCTGTACAGATAATTTTTATACAAGCGTTGATTTGGTAGAAAAATTACTTTCTGCAAAAACACATTTAGTAGGAACTTTACGGAAGAACCGACGAAGAAATCCACCGGATGTAATAATTAAGAAATTAAAACATGGAGAATTTATAGGTAGGGAAAACCAGAAGGGAAAACCAAAAGGATATTACAGTCTTAAAGTGGAAAGATAAGAGAGATATGTCGATGCTCTCCACTAAACATTCAACAGAGACGACAACCGTACGTAAAAAATCGTTTTCGTATGAGAAACCAACAATAATTTCAGATTATAATTCAGGAAAATCGTCGGTTAATTTATCAGATCAAATGATCGCTTATAGTACTCCTTTACAAAAAACTATAAAATGGCATAAACAATTAGCGATAGAATTACTACTAAATACGTGTGTGGTGAATGCGCTAGTAATGTTCAAGCATGTAACGCGCAATAATATCAAAATTACCGATTTCCGCATTGATTTGAAATTAGCAATGCATTTGGCACAAAGAGCTTCCTCGGACGTGAGTACACAGATTGTAACTCCGCTAAGAAAAGCGCGTCATGAAATGAAGAAAATGCCAAAAAAAGTGAGCACTACTCGACGAGTTTATATAATATGCTACAAAAAAAATGCTCACGTAAGCGGTAAAACGACCGCAAAAAATCGTACTCACTCAAAAATCGCCACATACGGTCGCAGATTGCACCGGTTCGCCTTTCCTCTGTTTGACATGTTTTAATACAGACATGCGAATATAACACTTCGAAATTATAAATAAAAAAACTATTTTCATGTGTTCTTTCATACATTTGTTTCCTTATGTTGTTGTGATAACGATGGTAATATTGAATTTTATTAGTTTTTATTAAGCTCAGAATCGCCGGCCACCGATAACCCTCACGGCGGTTTTTGAAAGTTCGGCCGATAGAGAAGACGAACATTGTGATTTTCTTTAACGACAGCTTCGACATTGTTTTATCTCGGAACGCTTTTCCCACACGCTCGATCGATAGCTGGTAGGGCGGATCGCTGCGATTTCCACGCGCGCTGCATTACATGCGTACTAATTATCTAAACACTTTATACGTTTTGTGTGGTTTTTAAATGTTATAACATAAAAATATATTTTTTGTTATAACAAAGTAGCACAGCGAAATATGTGTTTCGATTAAATAGAAACAATAAACACTAGAAATTACAGAAATCGTTATAACTGAGAAATAATATTTAAATCGAGAAATAATAGAAAAATATGAGCAGGAATTTCTCTGTAAACGCAGAGTGCAGA